GGGTATTTTCAAACACTAACCCAGCAGGAAATACAGGACCCAGACCTCAGCTGGAAATGATGTACATCAACACTAACACCTGTAAGTCAGCCTCAGTAGTCCTGATGGAATTTATTTAAAAAGTGTAAGAGAAAGATCCATTTTAATCTTTCATACTTTAAAGTATGAAAGATTCATACTTTAAGTATGAATGAAGATTTGAGTATGAAAGATTTGCAAGATTTCATACTTTAAAGTATGTCCACTTACATACTTTATAGTGAAAATTAAAGAGGTGTACATACAATATTTTCCCCCAAATCTCACTTTTTGTAACAAATTTTAATCATAGTTACACTAGTATTAATAGAGTAATCTATAAATTAATTAATTATGTAATATTTTAATCTTAAGTGCAATCTCCTTTCTGACTGGAAAGGCCAGCGCTTAGAATGAGCTGCCCATGAATGTCCACCTATCCTCTGCATTGCCTCACACAGCACATGGTGGAAGAGAAACTCCCTAATTGAGCAGCTGAGCAATTTGGGTACATATTATTATATTTTTTATTATAATGTGTATATATACGTACACACATACACATATATATGTATGGTACATAGATATACACCATTAATTTATCCATCATTTTAACTTTAAGCTCTCTAAGTAGAACTTTCAAAAGAATAGAAAAATAATATATCCACCTACCTTAGATTTGTTTTAATATATTTTTTCCTGCCACACTTGCTCATTATTAACACATTTGTAGTCAATGCTTTGCTCCTTCGTTTTCTTCTTTATTTATCCTGCAGTAAAATTATAATGTCGAGTTGGCAGATCATAAGATTTTATTTAAAAAAAATTAAAATCTCTCAAAACTACACCAGAATACCCTGATTTCCATAAAACAAAAAAACAGCATAGAGAGGTGAAAACAACTCTATTTTTTTCAAACTTACTTCTATTCAATCTCCTTATTTTCTTAGGAAAAATTCAAAAAAAATTAAATTATGTGCTACTTATCATTTTCCACTGAAGAGAGTGCAGTGCTGCCTAAATCATTTCACACACACTACAAATCGCTCATAAGTATCAGCTCCATTTTAAAATAATAATCACTTAATAAACTGAATGAATCTATCATTTTCTCAAATTTCATTCCACTGAAACAAATTTGTCAACTATTTTTCATTTACCTTAACTTCAAAACTGGGTTTTGTCAAAGAATTTTAACTGCAAACAAAATAGTAACCATTCCTTTAAAATCTCCTCTGATACCCTTTAATCCATTAAAAAAGCTGTTTTAGACACTCTAGCAATTAAACCCCCCCCCTTTTTTTTTTACTAATATCTCTTTAAAATACACATTTGACATGCTGAATGAAGTAAAGCTGGCAAAGAAAAAGACAAAAGGAGAGCAGTGAGCCCTCAATTTGTTTTAGATTTGAAAGGACCAACACCCACATCCCTAAGTTCCTTCCAGGCGTCCATGCCAGCAACAGAGGTGCTTGGCAACAAACATGTTATTTCCGGGGTTCCTTTCTAAGTGGTCCCTCTAAAATGGTGTCACACCATCCCACCCAATTTGGAAACTGAGTCAGCAGGCAAGTGTGCTGCAACTTACTACGGGTACCAGGACAATGGTTACTGTTACCACCTGCCCCACACAACCATAGCGACAATGTGGAAAGGTAAGGCACTTGAACCAGGCAACCTACAACATGAACAAGAAACAAGGATGGTGACATTCCTTCAGATTAAACCTTATTCTGTGTTATATTACACTGGCATTTTATGTGGGGACATCTTATCTTCCATAACAACTGTGTAACCATGAGGGCAGGGGCTACTGATTTATTAAACAGTGATTGGCACCCAAGATACCCCAGCCCTTGTGCTTGGCACCAATACACAGGTAACAAGATGTCCCTGATCTCCAGCAGCTTGGGTTCTAATGAGGGAGAAAGATGTTTAAACAAGGAATAATGATAATATTATCTGAATAATAATGATGAGCACGGCACTATATAAGAAGAGAGAAGTAACTCCCAATTTCTCCTGGAAATACCATATTCTCTGGTTTAATTTCTGAGTAAGTAATACATTATGATTCAGAACTCAAAAAGTAGAAAAAGGTATTTGGTGAAGTCTGGGAACAGCCACCCATTTCCTCTTCCCAGAGGCTACCAGCATCGAAGACAGTCTCAGCTTCCTGCCACCCCATCACAAGACATCAAGAGAGCAAATGACTAGCCTCACAACAGAATAATGACCATCAGATAAACCTGATCCTGACTCAGGCTCATCAGAGAATTATTTCATTCCAACTACTCTCTAAGAAGTCATCACTGATTGATCGCCTGCTTGCCAAATCTTCAAGAATGATCTTTAGTCCCTATCCTCAACATGCCTACAGCATTTCCTACTCCCCAAATTTCGCCCTCCTCGAACACCACGTTCATGTTTCCCTTCCAAGTTATCCAGTTCTTCGCCTTAGTCTCCTTTGGCCCACTCTTTAAGTACTGGTACTCCCAGGCTTCCAGTCACAAACACCTCCACACTCTCCCCCTAGGCTGCCTCATCCCCTCTTGATGTGTCTCAAATCTCACCTCCAGCCTGGACCTCTCTCTCCTGAGCTCTAGCCTGTATGTATCTGCCTATTCAACATCTCTTAACGGTTTCTTCAGAGATCCTCAAGTCTAATATGTTTAAAACTAACCTCAACTCCCTTGCTCTGCATCTCATCTCTTGCTGTACTTTTATCTCGATTGGGGAGTGACATCACCATCAGCTCAGCCACCCTATCCAGGAGTCCTCTCTCTTCATTCCCCACTTCCCTTGTCCCCAATTCCTGAGGTGGCAACGCGGTCTAGTGGTCGTAGCATAGCAGTGTGCGATATAAACAGTGTGGCAATGGAGGTTGATCTGGGTGTTAACTTGAGTTCTACCCCTTATTAGCTATGGTTTTTGCAAGAAAGGCAAAATGAAGACCCCACTGCAATTAGCACGGTCAAAACAAAAAGAAAAGAAAGTGGAATAAAGGGAATTACACCTCTAATGGAAGCAGGAAGAGAAAGAACACAGAAAAATATGATCTGTTTCTTGAGTTCTGGATGAAGAAAGGTTTTAGCTCTTTGGGAAAGTAGAAGATCCTCAGAGGTTAACTATGATTTAAGTAGCAAAGCAAGTAAGGTTTGAAAGAAGGTAGGAGAATATGAAGCTTACATTGTAAAGCTGGTCCTCCTCAACCAAGTCAATTAAGAAACTGGGAAAAGGCAGGCTAGCTAGGAGAGAGAAGTACAGTTGACCCTTGAACAACACAGGTTTGAAACAGTATGGGTCCACTTATATGCAAATTCTTTTCAATAAATATACTGGAGGGACTTCCCTGGTAGTCCAGTGGTAAAGCATCCGCCTTCCAATGCAGGGGACACGAGTTCGATCCCTGGTCAGGGAACTAAGATCCCACGTGTCATTGGGGGCAACTAAGCCCACACACCACAACTAGAGAGAGAAAACCCACATGCCGCAACTAGAGAGAAGCCCATGCGCCACAGTGACAGATCCAGCACAGCTCAACAAAGGTCCTGTGTGTCGCAACTAAGACCCGATGCAGCAAAAATAAATAAAAACAAACAAATAAATAAATAAATAAAAATATATTGGAAAATTTTTTGGAGATTTGCAATAAGTTGAAAAACTCACAGATGAAACTCATAGCCTATAATTATTGAAAAAAGAAAAAGGTACGTCATGAAAGTGTAAAATATATGTAGATACTAGTTTATCCTTACACAGGCAAAAGGTGATATTTAATATAAAATAATGTGTTAGTTTTCTTACTGTTTTATAACTTTGCTTTCAAAGAACTACACTACTGTACAGTATTCCTCTCTCTCATAATTGGAGGAACTGCAAATCAGCTATCATCACAGGTAAGTGGTTTTTTTAAAAAAAGTAACAATGTTTCCAGTACTGTATTATGAATATGACTGTAATACTGTATGCCATAAATTTCTACAATGATTCATTCATTAGTGTTTGGGCTAAGCTACCGTGAAGCAATCATATCAATTACACTAGGCAATCATATTGCTGCTTCTTCACTATTAATGTATGAATCGTTATACCTATAAATAAATACAGATTTCTTTTTCACATTATCTTTTCATTTTTGATGTCAAGTATTAGTAATACATATTACATCTGCAGTGTTTTGTATCATATGACAATACTAATGTAGGTACAGACAAATGATTCATCTCATAAACTTATGGTATTGATAAATACAGTACAGTACTGTAAATGTATTTCTCTTCCTTATGATTTTCTTAATACCATTTTCTTTTCTCTCGCTTACTTTACTGTGAGAATACAGTATATAATACATATAACATACAAAACATGTTTTAACTGTTTACTTTATTGGTAAGGTTTCTGGTCAACAGCAGGCTATTAGTAGTTAAGTTTTGGGGGAGTCAAAAGTTATACAGGGATATTCAACTGAGCAGCAGTCGGCGCCCCTAGCTCCCACGTTGCTCAACAGTCAACTGTAATTACAAAAAGCCACGTATGTGAAGTTGACAGGGATGCGCCTATGGTTATTATGCATTTTAGGGGAAGGAGATGAGTAGAGGAAAAACAAAGCAATACAGTAGTATAAGGAAATTATGCCACTTTCAAAGTTTTGTAATCTTTGTGAAGTTAGGATAACTTTCAAATAACAATTTTTACACTTTTGTGTAAAAACAGAAGTGGCCAGGAACAGTTCTTCTAAATAATTATTTGAAACACTTGTAAATACTGTCTTTACTATTTTGAATATGAATCATACAGAAAATCAGGCAGCATTCTAATACAGATTCAAGGCCACTCCAGTTTAATTGCTTCAGATCCCCATTATTATTTAAGAAATCTAAACTCTTTACTAAAATCACCAAAGGATTAACTATTCAAGCATCTCTTTTTCGGTTCGTTCCCCACCTGGTGCCTGCTTTCGTCTATTTCAGTCAATGAACAGCAGAATCCACCGCTAAGGAGGAAATGAAAAATGAAATTCACATAGTCATAGCCTATCTCCACCTTTCCAAGCACACCCCGCCAGGCTGAGCCCCCGCCCCATTTCATGAAGGGAAACATAACTTTCAATCTATTGGGGAAGTTATTTGCTTGGCTAATCATTGTAGGGCTTTTCTTTCAAAAGAACACTCCATTACCGCACTCTAAGTACATTTCAAAACATTTATTTACACATGAAGTACAACTGCATC